GATTCTCTGGGCAAATTATGGAATGATGCAGAAAGCATCAAGAAAAGATGGAAGGAATACACAGTCACTGTACCAAAAGGAATTGGTTAATGTTCAACCGTTTCAAGAGGTAGCATATGATCAAGAGCCAATAATACTGAAAAAGGAAGTCCAAGGTGTATTGAAGGAATTGGCAAAGAACAAGGCACCAGGAAGTGATGGAATCAAAATTGAAATCTTTCAAGAAACTGAGGTGGCACAGAATGCACTCACTCATCTCTGCCAGGAAATTTGGAAGACCAGTATCTGGCCGACTAATTGGAATAGATCCGTATTTGTGCCCATTCCAAACAGAGGTGACCCAACGGAATGTGGAAATCATTGAACAATCTCTTTGATATCCCATGTAAGTAAAGTTTTACTAAAGGTAATAACAGAAATGGCTACAATCATATATTGACAGAGAACTTCAGAGGTTCAAGCCGGATTCAGAAGAGGCCGTGGAACGAGGGATATCATTGCGGTTGTTCGTTGGAACTTGGCTGAAAGCAGAGAATATCAGAAAGATGTTTACCTGTGCTTTATTGACTATGCAAAGGCTTTTGATTGTGTGGATCATGACAAGCTGTGGACAACATTGCAAAGTATGAGTATTCCGGAACACTTAATTGTGCTCATGAGAAATCTGTACCAGGCCCAAGAGGCAGTTGTTCTAAGAAAGGTGTGCACATAACCACCATAAGCTATAATGTTGGTGTTATTTGCTGTTAAGTGCCATCAAGTTGATTCCGATCCATAGCGACCCTGAATGTGGTTTCCGAGGAGCTGCTTGTGAGCTTGAACTGCCAACCTTGCAGTTACAACGGCTTTGCAGTCTGACGTATTAACCCACAGTGCCACACCAGGACTCTGTTGTTTGCTCTAAAGTGCCATCAAATTGGTTCGGACTCACAGCAACCCTGTTAGGGTTTCCAAGGAGCTGCTGGTGAGTTTGAACCACCAACTTTGTGGTTAGCCGTCCAGTGCATATCCTGCAGCGCCACAGCAAGACTCCACTTGGGTATCCCTAAATTTATTCCCATCATACACTTATGTAGGTTTGTTTTACTACATTACGTAGGAGAAACAATCATTCAATATCCAGAATACTTTCAGATAAATAACCTTTTCAAAAACATGCCAGTTTCATCTTCCCACTGACTATCTTCCTATTCAGACACGTAGACACGTATGACCTTGGGCTTCTGGGTAAGTGAAACCAGAAGACCCTGGAGTCATATCAATCACCTGGTTTAACTGCCTGACTTTTGCTTCAAGCCACTCTAGATTCTGCTGTTTTCCTTTCAACTGTACCATAACACTTCATACTTTCCTTTTAGCTGTTAACCACCTAACTAACCTTATAGGAATCAGAGGTTTCACTTCCCATGCCTCTTCATTCTATAAAGTCCTGTGCTTTCATGAACCTGGAGCCATTGTGGAATCCTGTTCCTGCTGCCAACTGTAAAAATGGTGTGGTGGAGGCTTCTGACCTACAACCTCATGATGCAGAGAGAGAAGCACAATCGGCCCAAAGCTGATTTCTATGAGGTGGAGTTAGTCATGCCTCCGCCCTCCAAACCCTTTACCAATTCCAACACCAACCTTTCCTCTCTGCTGTGTTTGATGCAACAGTCACCCAGAACTCAGCCAATACTCACGATATTGCGGTGCTTATTAGGGAAGTTATAGGTTACAAGTTCTACCATGATCAGAAATGACAGGATATTCTTTGATCAGACTGTCTTCTTCGCAGGTGTATCTACACACACACACACACACAACTCCCTCCCCCTGTCCCCCCCCCATCTTTCTGCCCTTGGGCCATTCAACCCTGAGGCCTCTGTCTTCTTCCTTGCTCAGGCTCTACCAGTAAGTGAGCTCTGGTAGCCTAATAGTTACGAGTTTGGGTGCTAACCTCAGGATCAGCAGTTTGAAACTACCAGCAGAAAGATGAGGATTTTTGCTGCTGTAAAGATTTATAGCCTCGGAAACCCTAGATAGGGTTGTTATGAGTCGCAACTGACTCTACAGACTCCAACTAGTCAGTGCCCAGAGTCACCCACTCCACCAGCAAGCCTCCTGACTGAAGGTGCTATTTTCTCACTCTATCTTCTGCCTGCCTCCTGATACCATTTCTCTGCTGCTGCTTTCTCACCATCTCTCTTGCCATCTCCAAATCTTAACAGCCCTTCATTCTGAGCTTCTTAGCACAGGGATGCCAGGTCCAAGACATGTGCTCCACTACTCCTGGATCTTCTTCCCTGTCCACCCCAGATGGTTCATTTTAAGCCTGACCAATTCCCTTACTTGCATGATTCCATCCCTGTAGGGGTGCCACAAACCATATTTACATTATTGGCAAGCTGTCCAATCCCCTTGGTGGGCCACAAGCATCTCGTTTGCATAGTTACCAGTCATTTGGTGAAAGGTACAAAATCTATAGCTAGAAAGACCATATTAAGCAATTTACTGCACTGCACAGGCTTTATTCAAATTGCAAAAGCAGTTAGTTAAAGCAAAAATTTTGGATTTACCAAATACAGAATATATGACATTGAAGTCCTGCTGATCGTGGGGATTAAGTTATAACAGCTTCTTTTCCTAGGATGTTACAAAAAATGAGCACCAAACCATGCCTCCCCACAGCACTCTCTACTCAGTTGGGTTTGCTCAGTCATCGCAAGGGCTACACAGAACTCAGGCACCAGACTCGCAGTTATGGGATTTATTAGGAAGTTAACGGGTTACAAGTCAGACTCAAGAATGTTCAGGAAACAGTCCTTACAGTCAGTAGTCTCTCCTTGGTGCTTGGTTCCTTGGTCTAGCCTCTGGCCTGGCAATGTTACAAAGCTCTGTAAGGGATGCTGATGAATGCCCACAGTGCACACCACTCCACCATAAACCTCAACTTGAAGGCACCTAACTCTAGCTCCATGGGTGGGCAAACCTAGTTTCTCCAATTAAATGCTACCCTGCAAGCAACCTTCCTGCCCAAAGTCAGTCAGCTTTGCTTTGTGAGTTGGGAAGTGCACTGCTCTGTCTGGTGCTCTGGCCCTGGGTTCTGCTGCTGCTGCTCTGCCACTCCTCTAGTGTTAACAGCTTTCTGTGCCTGGGTCCAAGTTCATGCACAGGGATCTCAAGTTCCAAAGGACTCCAGCCCTGGCTTTTTCTTTGATGGTAGTGAGGTTGCTCCTCCCACTTCTGAGATGGCTCATTCTAAACCCTTGTTAGAGTTGCAAGTTTTTACAACCACAGTTAAGTCTGGGTTAGCAATCAAAATGGAGTATCAACCTATGAGCATCTTCTCCCACATTTTCTTACCCAGATCCATCAGGAAAAAGTTGTTTGAAGGTTACCAGGCCTAAGGGTAGAAGAGTCATATGAAGCAACCCACTGCACTGCAGAGGTCATCTACCTTACCAGCAGACCATAAAATACAAGGCCCCAGATGCCTAAAGGTGTCGAGAACTCAGTTCTTGTTCCCATAACAGAAGTGATATAAATCATACCCCCACACACACACCAACACACATAGGTAGGGGTCATTATCAGATGCAGGTTTATGTTAATGGCTTCATAGTAGCAACACAAAATATACTCAAAATGTACACATTTCCATAGGAAAGGTTATATATACACTTTACACTTCAGCCTAGAAATGTGGACCCAAAAAACATTCAATTCTCAGTAACCAATAATTTATCAATTCACAGAGGATCCCACACCCCCAATCTTAATTCAGCAGAGCAACAGGCCTTCCTTGGCTGCCAGGCGCTGGCGGTGAACTTTGTCTTGCTGCAGCTCCTCATGATTTGGATGCCAAAGTTTCATGATGATCCTTTCAATGTTGAGGGCATACACAGTATGTGTAGGGATTATTTCCCTGTGTACCTGTGATTTTAAAAATGAGCATGGCTCTAGTTATATTTTAGTACACTGAGTTTTCAACATATAAAATACAACAAAGCACTCACATAACAGAACCGAATAAACCCCAAATCAGACAAGCAAAAAAGGATCTGATAAAGTTCTGAAATAGGAACAGTGGGGTCAAGAATATTTTTTCTTTCTTTCTTTCTTTTATGGGGATGGGGAGGATGAACAGGTTGGGGAGAGTGAATAAGGAAGGACTCATGGGCCTTTTTTCAGGGTATGAAAAAGAGGTTACTATTAATGGCTTTAATAACAATAAAAACTGAAGGGAAAAAAAGCCAAGAAGTGAAAAACGCTAGTGAACATCTTTGCAGACGTCACGAGTACTTTAACCTCTGCATAAATCTAGGTCAACTTTAAGAAGCTCAGAATTACCTGCAGAGCTTCAAAGAGGTCGTACATGTTCACCGGAGGCAAGGACGCAGGCAGTGTGTCCCCCGAGCAGGCCAATAGGAGTGCAGCCTGCTGCTCAGCACCGTCGGGTGGGGGATGAGAAGCTGGGTTCTGACCAGCACACGGGGCAGAAAAAGCTGGAGGGCTGTATTTAAAAAAAAATTTAAAAAAATCAGAACTCTTCCTATAGAGGTAGCAGAACAAATGGAATGGGGTGCTTCAACAAGTTTGTGGAAAAACTCCATTCTCTTTTAATTCCATTTTTCCACAAACTTTTTGAACCCTTCTCATTTTAAAACTATAAAATACAGTAAGAATCCTATCTGTTTTTAAACTACTTTAATTATGAAATGCAGTCCATCTGTCACATGTTACATAATCCAAACCAAACCCACTGGCCGGTTTTTCAATTCACTCCCAAGAAGAGTGGAACTGTCCCATAGGGTTCCCAAGGCTGTGTATCTTTACAAAAGTAGACTTACACATCTATTTCCTGAGGCTGGTTGGTGGGTTGAACCATGGACCTTCTTGGTTAGCAGCTCTGTGCTTACCCACTGCACCACTAGGGCTCTTAAGCTCAGGCTACTAAATCAAAACTGCATCCTGTCCTTAAAGAGCTTCAAGTTGAAAACACAACAAATGCTCACTGCTGGTTGTTGTTAAGTGCCATTAAGTTGGTTCTGACTCAGAGCAACAATGTATAAGCTTTCCTAGGAGCTGCTGGTGCATCTGAACTGCCAACCTTGGAGTTAGCAGTCCAGTGCTTATCCTACAGTGCCATAGCAGGACTCGTGACTGTCATTTGGAATGTGAAATTTAAAACAACTGACTGGAGAGGAAAGTAAATGGTCAGAGAGGAAAAGTACATGATGATCTGGAGATAACAGAATGCAAAATCGAGAGCAAGAAAAAAAAAAGCAGCATAAAAGAAGCAACAAGTAAAAACAGACAACGGAAAAAACTAATCCAGATCTTGCTAATTTTCTCAAAATAGAACCCAGATATAACACAAGCTGGGAAGTCAGGCGAGTTTTTCATCATAAGCAATAGGAGACAACCTATACAATTTGAGGAATATACATCAAAAGCAAGTGAAGAAATAATTAGAAGGGAAGCAACAGTGGACCATAGATGTTGGTTTGAGGGATCAGACAAGACCAACCCTGTTAGAGAAGCAGCCCTGCCAGGGAGCATCCGGCAGGGGAGCCCTGGCAGGGCAGAGACACTGCTCCCAAGAGTCACCCGTTACAAGGAACCACCTGCATTTGTGTTTTCCTAGACAACAGAATGACTTACAAAAGAAATGACAGAATGCCACACAGGTAACAGGTGCTTGAATAGGATTTAGACAATAAATCTTTCCATATGGCAATCTAAATAGTGAACTCAATTTAAAAATGATGCTCTTCAAATCAGGCCCCAGTGCCAGTCGATGTTCTCAGAGCCACAAACCAGGCACCTGGGCAGCAGTGCAGCCCACGTGGTATCAACACTCTGCTTGGTCTAAGCTTCACTCAGTTTACCCCTACTTCCTTTTCCAGCACAGTTCCTGCCTTTTCCCACCCTGCTGTTGCCTCACCACTTGTCAAACCTCCCAATCGCCCTGTCACATCGTTACCCATTTTCTCCCTAACTAGCCAGATACACAGAGCCACACATGCAGACAAATTCATTTTATTAACCATGAGGGAAAGTATTATTTTTGCTTTCCCAAAGGCTCAATATTCAGGATAAACCTTTCTTTGCTGTTGTTTTGGAGGGTTCAAAATACACAACATATAGATGAAGCCCATCTAGGTCTTCTCATAAAAGGGAGAACTCCCAGCACAGAGAGCACAGTGCCGAGACCAGATTTGCAAAGCAGGCAGCCAAGAGTAATCAGATGACACCTAGCATAAGCCACAATCTTGAGCTACAACTGCAAGAGCCAGAGGAGAGCGTGAAGGAACACCTAGCTCTCCTCTAACCATCCAGAAACCTGAGCTGGGCCCAACAATCACAGGCCATGCTTCTGAGTGGGAGCAGCCCCACTACTACTACCAGGTGGGTGCTGCCCGTGGAGCTGGCAGGAAGTCACTCCATCCCACCTCAGGAAGTGTGGGGTACTCACTCACAGTAACTCAGATGAAGCAGCCAAACTCTGGACCTCACTCGTGACAAAAAGAACACCCAAATCATACATGTAAGGGCAGAAGTTAAGAAAATAAAGTTGTTCTGCTGTCAAAGGTACTCACAGAAACACAATGAGCAATGATTTAATAGTGATCTTTCACCTAAGTACTATAACCAACTAGCAAACGATGGAAGCAAAACCACAAACTTCAATTACCTTTCTATTAAATTGTTGTAAGCTATTACACTATTCTTGAGGTACGGCTGTGGAGTCACATTGCTACCAAAGGCATATTTAAAATGACCGTCTCGTAACCGATAAGCCTTCCTTCTTGACACAACTGATGTCAGGATATCCTTAAGGTGATTCTGTAAAAGAAGCAAGAAAATTAGCATCAACTTCTATGTAAAAGCAAAAGTATCCCTGAGGTCATCTTTAAAGCTTAAACCAATAATACCCTCTAAGTCTTAAGACCAAACAGTTTAGTTTCATTGTAAAGAATGTCTGCCTTGAGCATTATGTGCTCTTAAGAACTATCTATATGGGATCAGAGTGACAACATCAGCTCAAAAGATTACACAAGGGGAAGGCAGAGTCCCTACTGAATAGTTTTCATCTTGTCTAGACAGGTCTGGTGAAAGGAGATGGGGATAAGATTCTTAGGATTCAATAGTGAGTAATTGTTATCATGACTAATTGTGACTGTCACAACTATAAAGGTAGAAGTTTTGTAACAAAAAGTGGGGAGTAGTTAATCTTACATTCAAGGAACCAAGGATGAGAACATGGAGAGACAAAGCAGCTGAGGACTCTAGCCTCATGGAAAGAGAAAGGCTGTGTGCTGGCAGCCAGGAGACAGACCTGCAGAAAGTGCCCTTTGGTTGTTTAAATGATAATATATTCCTAAGTGTTTCTGTATACATTCCCCCCAACCCACCCGCAAAAAAAAAAACCCCAGGGGGAATATAAGCAAATACTGTTAAATGATGATGCATGGAGGGGATTGAAATCATGGCAATGAAACGATGAATGTAAAACCGATGTTCTCCCATAGCACTCAATTCACAATAAAAACTTAAAAAAAAAAGATTACACAAGAAACTAACCTCAGGGGGCAGTGAGTTTGTTTTGAGGGCTACAACTCAGAAAAGGAGGGTGAAGATGGTTGCGCAACTTGAAAAACGAAATCAATGTTGTTGAATTGGTGTATGTTTTGGTATGTATATTCTCAACAGAATAATAACAGACAATGGATATATAAGAAATAAGTACAAAACAAAAAAAACAACCAACAACAACAAAAAAAATCAGTATTTCCTTTTCCTCCCCCTTTCTGAGAGGTGGCTGGAGAAGCCTATGGAAACAGGGAGGCAGGACACTCATAGGCGGTCATTAGTAAGAGGGCAGCCAGGGCTGAGCAGAGGGTTTCAATGGTTCCCAGAAGACCATCATACACAGGACAGTATTTTTCCATTTATAATGGGTTTCCACACACAGAATTCATGTAATACTTACATCCTCCATGATTCAGCTAGTACCAGCTTTTAGGTACAGATGAGGAAAAGGAGGTAGAGGGAATTGAAAGGACTCACCCAAGGTCACCTGACAGTATCTGCATACTATCCGCCCCACTATGCTTGTCAATTAAGTGAATAAAATGAATGAATAGTGTGCTGAGACAAGAGTCCAACTGTTCAAAGACCAAATCGAATGCTCCGCCAGTGCTATACAGCCCAGCAAACACAAGAAACTTTAATCTATACAATTCTCACTCTCATTTTTTTCCCTTAAAGATGGTTGCCTTGCTGACAAATTAAACATGAAACCTAGCACCAGAGTTAAGCCATAAGGAACTATCTGGAAAGTTCAGTCCGTTCACCAGAGGCAATTGTCGTGGATCGTGATTTATTTCTCCCTCTGAAAAGAAAGAACTCTAACGATGGCAATTTCATGAGATCAGAGTGACACCTGGGGTTTTTTCCTTGCAATCATCCACTTTAAATAAGCACAAGCTCATGACATTCACTTTGTAAAAGCATTTCTGCCAGCAGCACACTAACTTCCACTGCGTAGACGACAGCTGAGACAGCCTCCTCCGTGACGTTGTCAAGCCCATGCTCATAGGCCGTCACTATCATTCTCCCTTCCAGCTGCCCGCGAGTAGGAAGCGTCATCGTGTGGGAACAGAGCTTCAGGTCATCATCATCTTGGGGATCCTTTGCCACAAACTGCTGGGCTCCTGAGAGGGGATTTTGAGGCTGAAACCTATGCTAGAGGTTAAAAAAAAAAAAAAAAAAGAGCCCAAATTATTCATGACTGTGCCCAGTAATAAAACACACACAAAAGTAACCCAACATTGGATCTGATATCCTCGTTAAGGCCAAAACTATTTACCATGTGGCAAAAGTAACACACACAAATAATCACAAATTAACATAATTATATGGTAATGATGAAGGCATGAATCAAGGGGAAATAATGGTACTGTGTACAGTAGTTTATTCTAGTCAGTTAATATCTTAGTGATCATAGATTATGTGATAAAAATAATAATTATGGAGAAGATTTAACCCAGTAAATTCCGAAAGCACAGCTTCAGTTATGTAATAAAAAACCTAACCAAACAACATAACTGATCAGTAACAAATATTCCAAGAAAATGTTAGGTCACTACCCAACTCTGTTGTTAGTGCTGTAAAGTCAGTTCTAACTCATAACGACCCTATATAGGATTTCTGAGGAGCAGCTAGTAGATTTGAACCTCCAACTTTATGATTCGTGATCCAGTGCTGATCATACAGCACCAGGTATTACTTTCTACTTAGAATTCTTGACACAGAACCCATCTAAGATTAATTTATTTTTTCTAAAAATTTTTTCACTCATAAAACTTCAGCCTTCCGTTGAGATTCTGATATTACATTTGTATTCCCCATCAACAACAGGATATATGCTAGAGCTAGCTTTTGCTTAAATCAAACATACAAGATTTTATAGCGAAAACTACTTGCTCTGTTGGAAGACTGTATTATAAAAACAGGCTGCTGTTTTTCCATTTTCCAAGTATCAAGCTGTGTTTTATATTGAACATGCCTGTTTAAACCAAGTAAGTCTCTAAAGACAGTGATGCCATCCAAGTGCTTTATTATTACTGACTGAACGAGCAAGGGTGAAAGCAAACAAACGTCTGCTGACGTTAACCAATAAAGCTATCAATAATTCAAGCAAACCTCTAAAAGGGATGCTTTTGAGATTCTTCTCCCTAGATATAAACTGAAAAAGCAAGTTACTCTAAAACATTTACAAATTTTATGGCCAAATGTCCTCATGGCATCTCTGCACTTCCCCTGAAGTTCAATCCCACCTAGGGATTTGTGGGGTCCTGCCAGAGGCCCTGAGACCTTTGGAACAGTCATTCAATCTGATAAACATTTCCCTTTCATGAAAAACAGGTCAGAGAAGGCTTCGGAGTCACTGGCCTCTCATTAGATGTTAATGGTAGCATGTTAGTACTAAGGCATAACAAATTAGAATTACAAAAATGCAAACAGTTGGAACTCATAACCTTTGACGCCTTCACCAACTTCAATTATAATAACCCCACTTCAATTATAATAACCCTTCTTCTCCCAAAACCATACCCTTTAAAACTGTACTAGAATATTTCTCTAAAAATGAAAGTGAGTTATGCCACACTAAAATCAGTTATTACTAAGATCTACTGGAGAAAAACCTACATCAAATTTCTGACGAACTGAAGAAAGCTTTTTCTTTCCCTTGGGTTTTCCAGGTTTGGCTGCAGAACCCCCAGTCCAGGATAAAGATCCAGCACCCTCTGTGACATAGAAAAATAATCACCATAAATTAAATTATAATGTTTAAATTCAAATCCTCTACTTTTTTCTCTTAAAAAAAACAAAAAAACAAAAAAAACATATATTCACATATTCTATCAGGTTTTTTTTTTTTTCCAGCTGCAACTAAAACTATTTTTTAAAGAAAACAAACGTATCTTTTTCCTTTATATGTTTGCTATTAAAGTTTTTTGCGTTTTTGGCTTGGACACCCATCACCCAGTAAGACAGATTGTCTAGTTTAAGATGGTGAATTGAGCACATGTGTTTTTCTCCTCTCCCAAGATCGTACTAAAAATAAGTTGTTGTTGTTGTCAAGTGCCATCAAGTCAGTTCCGACTCAAAGTGACCCTGTATAGGGTTTCCAAGGAGCGGATGGTGAGCTTGAGCTGCCAACCTTGAGGTTCAAACCAACTTTGCAGTCCTGCGCATTAGCCCACAGCACCACACACATACGAAAAAGAGATGAGATGAAAATGAGTGAGAGACAAGATGACATATGAACAAATGTCTCGGAGGCATTAAAAGGATACTGACTTACAATACAAACCTCTTTTCTCACCCCATGAACTGGTTACATAAATTGTTGGGCTCAGTACAAAACGAAAATATGAGGCAATAGCAGAGCACTGGAAACCAAGTGTTGCATGCCCATGAAGCCAACCCTGCTCGCTCCAATGCAGACTATGACATGAAGCCCCTTATATATTATACAGGTGGGAGGGGGAAGGAGTGGATGACTCTTGTCTACTTCAACAGAATAAAATTTCTAGGAGGAACTAAGGTAGCTGTTGCAGATGTTGGCACCTCAAAGCAAAGTTCTTTGCATGCTAGCATTCGGAGGTCCCTCAGTTTAATTGGCTTTCTGTTAGCAAAGTCTCCAGGCAACTTTTTTATGCTTCATTGTTACTATGAGGAGGACAGTAATGCATCATTAGACATTTGAGAATAAGAAAGACCAAGATAAACAAAAAATAGAAGTTCTAGAAAAAAGAGAATTCAGGGAATGGACTAGAAGAGGACTTCAAAAGACTTCTAACTGGCATCCTTGGAGAGATTTGTGATGTGCATCGTATCCATAAAACAAGGTGATGCTATAAAAATGGAATTAAAGAATGCACTGAGTGGAAAGACTAAGAGATATGAGTTGAGGAAATCTCATAGAGCACAGAGCAATAATACAAAAAACAGAAACTGTCTAATGCCAGTAAATCCAGAAACAGCTAAGCACAGAATGAGGCGCTATGATGGTTCCACCAGAAAAACAACAAAAGCAGTTGTTTCTGGGGACAAGTATAGGTGGGAAGAAGCTGAAGCTTACATGATAAGACCATCTGTACTATTGATTTTTTTAAAATTATGATTTAATAAATGTATTAAACAGTACTTTTTTAAAGACAGAAAAACATCCATAATCCTAGCAAAACATTATTACAATATTGATGTCTTGGGAAAGACAAAAGTTTTGAGACAAAAGTTTTGAAAGAGTTTCTCATTTTGGACTATTCAGACATGACCAATAAAGTAAAACCAGACCAGATTTTTTTTTTAATTTGGGAAATCCAGAAAATTAATCTGAGTGGGAAAAACATGGGCTGAAGTCCTGGAATGGAAAACTCACAAGTATGGAGAGCCCTTTCAGGAACTTGATGCATGACAATGGATTATTGCTAGGATGGGAGTGAGAGACCCAAATTCAAAGTGGTGAGGCCGGCTGCCATCTTTGAGCCAAATGCTGCTGTTTACAACTCAGCCTGTCAAGAAATTTGACTGCTATGCCAGGCCCACAGTGCCCTCATTTTTGAAGAGGGAGATTAAGGTACTATCAGGACTTCAACCTGTAATTTTCCCCCTTTATAGTCAGCATTCCAGTGTACCCACCACATTTTAAAAATTCATGTCTGTTCAGGTGTTACTTTGGGCCACGGCCGAACCAGGTTAAATTGGTTTGAAGCTCTGCTTTGAAGAAAAATTCTAAGTTCCTCAGTTAAAAAGAACTTTAGATGTTTTTGGCACACCAGATCTCACTTGATAACATCATCAGCCAATCTTAGATGATAAATTCCAAAGAAAACCATTCTCATAAATGAAGCTGACAGTTTGGTGACAAAAAGAGAAAGCAGACTGAACATGCAGTTGTTGTGAAGTGCCGTCGAGTCAGTTCCGACCCATAGCAATCCTGTATAGGATTTCTGAGGTTAGGCTGGTGAGCTTGAATCGCTGACCTTGTAGTTCAAATCAACTTTGCAGTCCAGTGCATTAACCCACACCACCACACCAGGATACGGCAAAAACAAGCCATCAAAACCAGAGTCTGGGGAGTCACTGTCATGTGTGTGAGGGAGCGAAGCCTGGTAAGAACTAATCCTGACAAGGAGGACTTTACGGACTTTGGATTGCTGTTTGGATCCTAACACTTTACTTACTAGCTGGGTAGGGCCCCAGGCAAATTTTTATTTCCTTTGGAGTTAATCCCCTAAAGTATATTTTTTAAAAAAGCACTCTTCAAGGTGCTTCAAATTAAAGACAAGTGTCTTAGCACATTACAGATGATTTAATGTTATTAAAATCATCTTCCTTACTGTGCTTAAAAAAATGGAAAATAATTCACCCACATTATTATATTTTACTTTTAATACAAAGCAATTCTTTATTGCTAGCAAACATTAATTTCAGTTTGAGGAGATATGTTTTGGATATTGACAGAAAAATTATTTCTCAAATTCTCAATGGGATATTTCTTCACATATTTCTAAATAACCAGCAACCAATATTCAAGAATATCAAAGGTTTCTATTTAGCTAGAATCAGTCTTACTTAGACTTACTAATACCACTTCATATTTGTTTGGCATTTTTTGACTTTTCAAAGCACTTTCTACATGTTCTTTCATAACCCTGTTAAGGGTGGGTGTTGATGGTGGTGGTATGCCATGGAGTCGGTTCTGACTCATAGTGACCCTGTAATAGGATTTCCAAGGCTATAAATCTTTATGGGAGCAGAAAGCCTCATCTTTTTCCCACAGAACCGCTGGTAGTTTCGAACTGCTGACTTTGAGGGTAGCAGACCAACCATAACCACTACGCTACCAGAGGTTCTTGGGTGGGTGTTACTGTTCCTGTTTTACAAATGTGAAAACGAAGACCCTTCCCTCCCGTATCCACAAGTAGTTAACTGCATTATCTAAGCTACTTGTTAAATCTACACCTGAACTTCGTTCATTCAACTAGTTTTCCATTTGATTACTAATCTTTTGGGTTTGTGGTACTTCAGGATATACTTGGGGAAAAAATTCACTGCCATCATGAGGGATCCTATATAAGGTTTCCAAGACTGTAATTTTTTAACAAAACGGACAGCCTCATCTTTGTCCATGAGTGGCTGGAGGGTTTGAACCAGTGAACTTGCAGTTAGCTGTCCAATGCCTATCCAGTGTCACCATGATTTCTTAAAAGACATTGTACCTTTTTAATAATAACCTTTCTCTGCTAAGTAGTTCAAAGAACATTTCATTGGCAAGCAATTGACATATATTATCTGTTAAAGGAAGCAAAGGACCCACTATCCCAGTTTTGCCAACTGACATACACACTGGAAGCATTTTCACTGCTTACCTGGTGTAGAAACCAAAATCTGACAACGCGTGAGAATAGCCAGGAGAAAATCATTGTGGGAATGAACTGAAAAAGGGGAGATTATCACATATCAAATACAAAACATTTACAACATAAGGAGACCATTATTTTAGTCTTGCTTGTAAGGGTTTGGATGTCCCTTACTCTGACATTCTTTACTCTTAGTTTAAAATAGTCTCAATACTAAGGAGACCTCATAACAACCACTAGAGCCCAAAATTAATTTTTTTTAAAGTAAAAATACTTCAACTTCTTGCAAATTTGGGGAAACTTCAGAAGAGTAAAATAACTCCCAGATAATTACTTTACCATTATCCTGTGTGAGAAGTCTATGAGCTTCAAGGTCAAATTCTTCTTTGCTGATCTTCTGTTTGAACCACAACTTTAAGTTGGCCCAGTATCTGCAGAGGGAGAAACACTATTAAGAACCACAGGTTTTACTTTTTCTTCAAGTTCACCTTACCAGCTCAAACTTCTAAGGAAAGAAATTTCACATTTCCCCTATACTATAACTTCTTATTTTTTTAACTTTTTATTGTGAATTCTGTGGAGGTTTACAGACAAGATCATCAACGTTACATTCAGCGAATCATATGCTTTGTTTCGTCTCAATGATTGCAATCCCCTCCATTAACAGCAGTTATCCTGTTTCCTCCCTGTGATTCCTATTTGCATTCCACCCACCTTCCCATCCCTTTTCAATTTTGTCCTTAGGAAAATGTTGCCGTTTTGAATTTAAAAAAAATTTTTTAAAAGCTTTTATTGTGCTTTGAGTGATAGTTTACCAGGAAGAACATCAGTTTTGCACTCATCCTATCATATTTCGTATCACTGCAATGATTACAATCCCTCCCATGCATTATCATTCAACAATATTTGCTTCTATTCCTTCTGTTGTTGTGTGTACACAAAAACACTCAGGAACATATAATCATTTAAACAACCCAAGGGCACATTCTGTAAGCCTGCCTCCTGGCCGCCAGCACACAGCCTTTCTCTTTCGATGAGCCTTTGTTGTTGTTGTTGTGATGTGCCGTGGAGTCGGTTCCGACTCATAGCAACCCTACACAGGGTTTCCGAGGCTGTAAATCTTTACGGGAGCAGACCGCCTAATCTTTCTCCCGCGGAACTGCTGGTAGTTTCGAACTGCTGACCTTGCGGCTCGCAGCCCGATTCATAACCACTACGCTACCGATGAGCCTAGACCATAACTTTTATCTCTTTGCTATATCGAGTTGATTCCAACTCATGAGGACCCCATGTGTATCAAAATAGAATTGTGCCCCACAGAGTTCTCAACCAACAGTTTGATATTTCAGAAGTAGATCTCCATTCTTCTAAGGCACCTCTGAGTGGACTTCAACCTTTCAGTTAGCAGTCAAGAGTATAACCACTTGGGACTCTTACCCTAGACCTTAGGATATTAGAATACCAGGATAAAAACCAGAAAGGAAAGTCGCCCATGATAGAGAAATGACAGGCAACCACATAGGACTCACGGTTAAATGAGTCAGAATCACAGCTGTACACTGCTCTCCTCACTGTTGCCTTTGTAAAAGATCGACTCTCCAAAATCCTATGTTTAAGATTTACATTTTAAAATGTGAGGTGGGCATGGTAAGTAATACTGATACGGATGATGTCTTTTTCCTTAAAATGAACTCAAATTTTAATCTAAATTGCTGAAGTAATGGCTTTCTAAACGCCTTACCACAAAGAAAACACTCCTGGATATGAATGAGCAGCTTAATTTTTAAAGTAAAGCCAACCACTAGTAGTAAACATGACTAGTTATCTGGTGGTGGTGGTGGTGGTGGTGGTTATGTGCCGTGGAGTCAGTTCCGACTCACAGTGACCGTCTGTACAGGGTTTCCAAGGCTGTAAATCTTTACAGGAGCAGAACATCTCATCTTTCTCCGGTGGAATAGCTGGTAGTTTTGAATTGCTGATCTTGAGGGTTAGCAGCTGGATTTGTAAACCACTAAGCTACCAGAGCTCCTTAGTTATTGGGGGGGGGGGGGGGAATGCAATCATTTATACTTTAACATTAGAAAAAAGAATGACATGATTTTTCACATATGCACACCCCCACCTCCATGGGTGGTGGGGGCTTAAGTTGTTCCTTATTTATGGGACAGGATTCACTTACTCAATAAAAACCCAAACCAAACCCACTGCCAGCAAGTTGATTCTGACCCATAGTGCCCCTACAGAACAGAGCAGACTGTCTCACAGGGTTTCCAAGGCTGTCATTTACATGGAAACAGACGGCTACATCTTTCTCCCATGGGGCACTGCTGGATTTGGACTGCCAACCTTACATGAGCAGCCCAACACTTAACCTGCTGTGCCAACAGGCCTCCTTAGTTACTTAGTGGTTATGTGCTGTGGAGTCAGTTCCGACTCATAACGATCCCATAGGGTTTCCGAGGCTGTCAATCTTTACGGGAGCAGAAAGCCTCATCTTTCTCCAGCAGAACAGCTGGTAGTTTCAAACTGCTGACCGTGAGGTTGGCAACCAACTCGTACCCACTAAACTACCAGAGTTACTTAGTCGATCACTTTCAATTCAAGTTCATCTTCTAAGGTTCATGTGAGTTGACAGACAAAAAAAAAAAAAAAAAGATTTCTGAGATGGTCTATTTATTATCCATATCTCTGTTTGTGGCGCTATGGGTTAATGCGCCAGACTGCAAAGCCGTTTGAATTGCAAGGTCGGCGGTTCAGGCTCACCAGATGCTCCTAGGAAACCCTATACAGGGTCCGCTATGGGTCAGAATCAACTCGACAGCACTTAACAACAACAAATTATCTACTAATAAGAAATAACAATATATTTACATTTATTATAAAAGAACTAAAATACCGCTGTCCATCCACAGCATCCCTAAGGAGCTCTGATAGTGTAGTAATTACGATGCTAACCTCAAGGTCAGTAATTGGAAACTACCAGCTGTTCCGCAGGAGAAAGATGAGGCTTTCTGCTCCTGTGAAGATTTGCAGCCTCGGAAACTCTGTGCAGGGTCACTATGAGTTGGAACCAACTCCACGTACTTAACAACAACATCCACGGCATCCCTAGGTAGTGCAAATGTTTATGCGTTCATCTAGTTCAAGTCACCCAGAGGCACCCTGGAAGAAAGGCCTGGTGGTTGACTGAAAAATCAGCCACTGAAAACCCTGTGGTGTAGTTTGACATGGGCTCACCATGTCATAAGAGCAACTTCTTTGAATACCCACACAGAGCTGCTCCTGTATATATTGGAGCTTCAGGTCTGCATATATATGTGTAACTGGCTATATATGTCTGTTGTTGTTAGGTGCCATCCAGTTTGTTCTGACTCATAACGACCTTTTGTAGCACAGACCGAAGCAGTGCCTGATCCTGGCCCATCCTCACAAGTGTTGCAATGTTTGAGTGTATTGTGGCGTCACCGTGTCAGTCGATCCCGTTAAAGATTTTCCCCTTTTTCTATGGCCCTCTACCAAGCATACTGTCCTTCTGCAGGGGCTGGTCCCTCCTGATAACATGTCGAACACACGTGGAAGTCTCGCCAACCTTGCTTCTAAGGAGCATTACGGCTGTTTCGCCAACACAGACTCGCTCATTCTTCGAGCAAGTCCATCGTACTTTCAATATTCTTCCACTGCACGATAACTCAAACGCATCAATTCTTCTCTGGTCTTCCTAATTCATTGCCAAGTTTCACAGGCATAAAAAAATGAATGAAACTATCATGGCTTGGGTCAGGTGCACCTCAATCCACCCAGCAAACGGTGCCTAGCATATCACATTGAACTCCATGAATATACTCACTTTGCAATTTACCCGATCTGTGGGAATTTCTTTCTCGTCTTTCAAAGCCTATTTCAACCAATCCGCCTCCAGGAAGCCCTCCTGTGTCACTGGGACCCGGCTGGCCTCGCGCGTCCCGCAACCTGGCGCCAGGCCTGCATCCGCTCAACAAGCCTTCTGGCGTGAAGTGCGTTTCTCCCGCCCCACCTAGGGCAGCGAGCCTCCACCGAAAGCGCCCGCCGGGGTCTATAAGGGCACTAGAAAGGCTGGACCCCTTAGACCGGATGAGTTCGGATTGCCTACCCGACCCCGGCTCCAGAAACCTGGCGGCCTCGCTGCTCAGGCCTCGGGGCGCAGGGGAATGTCTCGGCGCGGGTCGGCCGCCCGAGCCAGAAAAGGACCCTAGGCGGAGATCCGGGGGCCGCGCCCAAGCAGCTCTTACTGTTTTACGTTGTCTCCCAGGGCCTCGCTCAAGTTCTTCTTAGCCGCTTCCAGTTCGCTCACAAAGGTCGCCATTGCTCCGCCCGTCTTAGCCCGACCGCAGGACGCCAGGCCACTGGGACCAACAACCAAAAAACCAACTCGGCACAAGGTCTGGGCTCTAGAAGCCAAGTCCGCTCCCGTCCGCCCCGCCCCAAATCGCTCCGAAGATGTTTGTTTGGTTTTCGGCTCCGCCCGCCTTTCTGTAAAGAAAGTGTCGAGCCAAACGCCGCGTTTTCTCTGATCTCCTCCTCCCGCCCCTTGAGTCACGTGATCCGCTTATCCCGGTTCCCCGTGCCCAACCTAGACCCATTTACCCTACTCAGCCTGGTGTTTGGCTCAGGCTGGGGCCTCCCTCACCTTTTCGGTCGTATATCATATTGGAAAATTTTAGAATTGTATCTGTTGTCCTACCTAAATGAACACCTTTCCCCTTCAACTTATAAATTAAATAACCCCTTACTTTATAATAGATTCTGACTCATGAAGACACCAGGTATTACAGAGTAGAACTGCTCCGTAGGGTTTTCTTAGCGGCAGCACATTGCCAGGCCTTTCTTCTGTGGAGCCTCTGTAGAGCTTCCTTTAGCAGAGGATCAAAAACCAGTTTAGTCACCCATACTCCTTCATAAAATAAATACAGTACCAATATTACTCCCTTTCCTTGGGTTTAAATTCCCACACCAGACCAAGGCAATCTTACTTTTGCTGTCTCAATTAAATAATCATATAATTGCTTAATCTTACTGCTTTTCTGCCTCTACCAACTAAAATATAAATTCCATAAGGACAAGGATTTGCATTTGTATACTCAGTTCCTAAAGCAATGCCTGGCACATGGTGGGCACTCAATAAATATTAGTTATGTGAATTAATTATGAAAATTTTGGAAAATACACAAAAGTAAGATGAAAGAAACAGTGTCTTATGCCCCATACAAATACAGCTAACTGAGAGATATCCCCACACTAATAAAATACAATTATTTTTTCTATGTTCAATTGTGTGTCTTTTTTTTTCTTTTTAATATAAAGGGGCTTCAAAAATGAAGTTTTTTCATAAACTTTTTGATGCCCCCTTGCATATTAATATAAGCATTTCCCTATGCTATTGCATTATCTTGGTCCCCAGGTGACTCAAACAATTTGCACTTGAATACTAATCCTGGTGTGGCATTGTGAGATAATGCACTACATCAAAAGGTCGGTATGAACCGCAAGGTGGGCTATTCAGACTCACCAGCCGCTCCTTGGAAACCCTATAGAGGGTCTGTATAAGTCCAAACCGACTTGATGGCACTTAACATCAACTAACCTGACGCTTAGCAGCTCAAAGATGCTCAGCAAGGGTATTGTGGAAGAAAGGCCTAGTAATCTGCTTTCCTTAAGATTCTCACCAAGAAAGCCCTATGGAGCAGTTATACTCTGTAATAAATGGTGTCACCACAAATTGGAATCTACACCAACAAATTTGGTTTTGGGTTTTATTACATTATCTTTATAATCCTAAATTTAATAGCAACATATTAAATACCCCACAAAAAGAATCTATACAACAGTAACTTGCTTTTCAATTGTTAAACTGAATATTGTTTCATTTCAGTTCCCTATTAATACTATAATGATTTTTATGTGTAATGCTTTTTTCACATTGTAGTGGGTTATATTAAAAAGCAAAGTTGTTGTAGAATGTATTCCCATTCATGGTGGTCCCATGTGCTGGAGAGTAAACTTGTTCTCCATAGGATTATCAAACATTTGATCTTTTGGAAACAGATTGCGTGGCTAGGTTTTCTTCCAAGGGACCTCTTTTTGTTTTGTTGTTGTTGTAAGTGCCTATAAGTCAGTTCAGACTCATAGCGACCCTGCCCAGGGTTTCCAAGGCTGTAAAGCTTTACGGGAGCAGAAAGCCTCATCATTCTCCTGTAGAACGTCTGGTAGTTTTGAACTGCTGACCCTTAGGTTAGTAGAACAACTCGTAACCACTATACTACCAGAGGTCCTGATAGATAACTTCAAACCACCAACATTTTGTTTAGTAGTTGATTGCTTAACCAATTATACCTTTCAATGACTACTGGTGGATTGAATAGTCAGTCACTTCCCAAAGATATATCAAAAAATGCTAACTCCTGAAACCTATGAATGTGAACTTATTTAGAAACAGGGTCTTTGTAGATGTCATTAAGGAGCACAAAATGAGATCACCTTGTATTACCTTGTTGTTGTTGCTGCTGTTAAGTGCCATCAAGTCAATTTTGACTCATGGTGACCCTGTATAGGGTTTCCAAGGAGCAATTGATGGGTTTGAATTGCTAATCTTGCAGTTAGCAGTCCAATGCTTATCCTACAGCATCACACCAGGATTCTTTGTACTACCTGGTGACCCTAAATCCAATGACAGGAGTGAGGCGGTAGACAATACACAGACAGAAGAGGTGGACATACAGAGAAGACACAGGGCAGAAGACCCTGCAAAAACAGGTTTTGAGACTTATGGGTGTCTACCTCTATTTTTTTCAACTGAGCTCGAACCATATGTGAACCTATTAAGAAGTCAATTCAATATAGGACATAGATGTGTAGGTGTATAGAAGTCAATTCAACATAGGACGTAGAAGTGTAGGTGTATCTCCTACAAACTGTCCATAGTTCTCATGTCTATATGTTGCTGTGTACCATCAACCGACAACCCGGTCCTGGTGTGGTGCTGTGGGTTAATGCACTAGACTGCAAAGCCGTTGAATTGCAAGGTCAGCGGTTCAGGCTCACCAGCTGCTCCTAGGAAACTCTATACAGGGTCGCTATGGGTTGGAACTGACTTGACGGCACTTCACAACAACCATCAAATTGATTTCAACTCATATCGATCCTATATGACAGAGTGGAACGGGCCATAGGATTTTATAGGCTGTAACCTTTTGGGTGGGTATGGGTCAGAACCGATTTGACAACATTTAACAGAAATGACAAAGCTTTATGGGAGTATGTTGTTGTTGTTAAGTGCCATAGAGTCAGTTCTGACCCATAGCAACCCTATATAGGATTTCTGAGGAATGACTGGTGGGTTTAAATCATTGACCTTGTGGTTCAAACTGACCTTGTGATCCAGTGCATTATCCTGCAGCGCCACACCAGGGAGCATACTGTTGTTGTTATGTGCTGTGGAGTCGGTTCTGACTCACAGCAACCCTGTATAGGGTTTCCGAGGCTGTAAATCTTTATGGGAGCAGAAAGCCTCATATTTTTCCCACGAAACAGCTGGTCGTTTTGAACTGCTGACCCTGATGTTAACAGCCTGATTCGTAACCACTACGCTAGCAGGTCTTTTTTCTATGGAGTGGCTGTGTGGGTTCCAGCTGTCAATCTTTTGGTTAGAAGTTGAGTGCTTAACCATTGCGTCATCAGGGTTCTTGTCTATGTACCTGTTGAGTCCTGGTGTGGTGCTGCAGGTTAATGCACTGGACTACAATGTTGGTTTGGACCTCAAGGTCAGAGGTTCAAGCTGACTAGCTGCTCCTTGGAAACGCTATACAAGATTGTCATAAGTCAGATCTGACTCAACGGAACTTAACAACATTCACTAAAATATTCATTAAAGATGGTCTGTTCAACATGCTTGGCAACACCCACACTGCTGTGTCTCTCTTATTTTATTGTTCATAAGGTTTTCAGGGACTAATCCTTCAGAAGTGGATCTCTATTTCTTCTTCCACGTCTGTCTTAGTCTGAAGCTCCACTGAAACCTGTCTACCATGGGTGACCCTGCTGGTATTTGAAACACCAATGGCATAGTTCCCAGCATCACGGCAAGACAAATGTCACCACAGTACCACAAACTGATGGCACACAGTGGCTACACATGTAGCACAGTGAACTATTCAGCCACGTTGTACACCTGCTAGAACTAATTTCAGTACAGTTATTTTGTTACATGCCCACTTGAAACGTAAAGTGTTAAGCAAATGTAATATGCACAACTGACCAATCTACATAATAGAAATCAATGCCAAAGTCACTTGTAATCTGGTTGTTGTTGTTAAGTGCCATTAAGTCAGTTCCGACTCATAGCAACCCTGTGTAGGGTTTCTAAGGAGTGGCTGATGAGTTTGAACTGCCAACCATGTGGTTCAAACCAACCTTGTGATCCAGTGCTTTATCTTACAGGAATCCTGTAATCTGTTGTTATCGTGATATGCCGTGGAGTCAGTTCCACCTCATAGTGACACTGTAATCTGATAGGATACTTAAAACACACACACACACACACACACACAAATTCGAAATAATCTTTTAGTTATAGCAATACATATACAATGCAAACCACATATTCTTTATTTTAATTGTGGTTGTGCTGCTGTTAGGTGCTGATTCATAACAACCCAAACCAAATGTTGCCTGGTCCTTGCCCATCCTCATAATTGTGGCTATGCTTGAGCTCATTGTTACTGCCACTGTACCAATCCCTATGGCTGGGGGTCTTCCTCTTTTTTTCTGATCCTCTACTTTACCACCCATGAGTATGGTCCCTCCTGATATTATGTCTGACGTATAGAGACAAATTTTTGCATTCCTGGCTTCTAAGGAGCATTCTGACTGTACTTCTTCCAACATAGATTTGTTTGTTTGTCTGGCAGTCCACACTGCTTTTAATATTCTTCTCCAAAACCATAATTCAAAAGCATCAGTTCCTCTATGGCCTTCTTTATTCACTGCCCAACTTTCTCATGTATATGAGGCTATTGAAAATACCATGACTTGGGGCAGGTGCACCTTAGTCCTCAAACTGGCATCTTTGCTCTCAAACACTTTAAAGAGGTCATGTGTAACAGAGTTGCCTAATGCAATGTGTTGTTTGATTTCTTGATTGCTACTTCCATGAGTGTTGATAGTGGAGCCAAGCAAAATGAAGTCTTAGACAACTTCAATCTTTTCTTCGTTTATCATGATGTTATTTATTGGTCCAACGAGTTCTGGTAGCATATTGGATTACAAACTGGGCTGCTAACCACTAGGTCCGCAGTTAGAACCTACCAGTT